CCTGAGAAACTCCGTCAACCGTCCGACTGGCCAGGAGGCTTCTTCGTTTTTAGGCTCTGGGATGCCGCCATCGCGATGGCCGTGACAGAACTGTCGCCAAGTGTAGTCCAGTCCAGGGTGGAAGTCCCGGAGGTAGGTCACCAGGATTCGCTGAACAACCACGCCTCCGCTGCCCGATCCGCTCCTGGGGTCGTCTGGGCTCAGCGTGGGGTTGTTGACGTCCCTGCTGTCCAGGAGCGGCCCCTGCGGGACTGGCAGCTCTGGCAGGAGTTACATGAGCTGTGCAAGAGTCCTGGGGGCTTGCTCGGCCGCGGGGGCCGCTCCACCCGAGGCGCTAGACCCAGGGAGGTTTGCCGCTCCAGCCTTGGCGAAGCGATCTTGGGCCTTGGCGTCAGCGCCTATCCATGGAAGGGAACTGAAAATGTCCACTGGCACCCCCGCTACTATCTGGCTGTTGAGCGTTGGGAGGACAGGGGCCTCGGCTGGGCACAGCGCCCTGTAGTCTCTATCAAGGATGTGGTCCAGGGTTGCAGGACCGATGTTCCATACCGGGACCAAGCAACGTCGGCAGCACCAAGTGGCGTTCCAGTTGCGCTCCCATCAGGCTATGGCTCGCCGCTCGATGGGAGGCAGCCCAGCTTGCTCGGGAACCCCTACCCCCTCCGCTGGCTTCCATATGAAGCAGCCCAGGGGAGGAGCTCCGGTGTTCCAGACGAGGAGCGGTGCCCCTGGGGGGCATGTGTCGCACCGTGCGGAGTAGAATTTGTTCTCCGCAGCTTTGAGGCCGAACCGCTCATCCCTGACCCGTAGGATGGGAATGGTGGTGTTGGCGCGCTCAGGGATCTGCATGCCCGTCGGCGTCATGATGAGGTCCGACAGCGATCTCGTGTCCGCCTGGGGGCTGCATCCAAAGCCAAGTGGGAGGTGACCCAGGGAGGGGAGGGCATCCGCCTTTTTGTCGCTTGCGGCACCGATCCTCTGCTGCTCGTGTTCCTTGACCTTGTCCGCTACTGTTGCGCCGGTTGGTGCTGGGATGCCCTGGTCCTCCAGGTGTCGGATCCAGCAAATCTCGCAGTGCCACCCCATGTTTGCACCGTCGAGGTAGGCCTGGGGCCGGTTCTGTGCTACCATCAGGCGTGTGTCGTCGGATATCCACGTGCCTTCTGTGGAGCGTAGCTGGTCCTTACCGCACCTGTCGCACTTGAACCTGCCGTTTTTCTGTTCGGCTGTCAGCCTGTCGTCGGGAATGCGCGGCGGGTCCTGTTTGGTGCCTGGGGCAGGGGTGGGCGGCAAGGGGGCGTTCAGGTCGGTGTTGGATAGCGCGAATCCGCCGCCGATGTAGGCGAGCCCAGCACACGGATCGTCGTCACCCAGGGAGGCGTCTGAGCACGCGAGCGCGACGTGAAGCGCGCACACCGAGCAGCGGTGCGTACCCAGGGGGGCCAGGGAGGCGGCTGGGACGATCTTCTCGAGGACGAGCATCGGCGCCTTCAGCTGAAAGTCCTGCCGGTCCATTTCACTCCAGGTCTGCGGGCAGCCAGCTGCCTGCGCGTCCGGGTGGTGGTGCGCCACCGCTACGAGCTTGGAGATGCGGGGCAGGATTGCCTCGATGCGACCGTGGAGGTCGGCCAGGTCGTCCAGCGTGAGTCCCCAGGTTCTTGCGAAGTCGTGCCGGAACCCTCGGCGCGCTTCTTGCCATGGGACACAGAACCCCAGGATGGCTTCGATCACATCCCCAGCCTGCTCTGCGCGAGGGAAATGCCACAAGAACACGCGTGGCTCGCGGAGCATTAACATCATGACGACCAAGAGCGACCGGGTCTTGCTGGATTCCATGGGGAGGCCATCTGTGTCTTTAATTTCCTTCCGGCACTGGTCCCACTTTGGGTCGTCGGGGGCGCCGCTGAGAATCTCCTGTAGGCCAGCCATCCCAGGGTGCTTCCTGTGTCTGCAGCAATCCTTGGTTGCTGCACTCCACGCCTGGGGAACCTGCCGAAAGAGTCCCTTGGGGGTGCACTGGCGTCGACCACAGAGTGTTACACGCCGCCCCTTGACGCGCGGCACCGGGGGGGAGGGAGTCGTCGTGCACTGCGTGGTTTGCGCCCTCCCAGGGAGTGCCAAGGCCGAGAGACCACACAATGGCTGCCCAGAGCATGTTGTAGACTAGATTGGTCGCGTCTAGACCCAGGGACATGTCGAACAGGAAGCCCAGGTGCGACCAAGCCTTGCGGTCGAGTCTGCCAGGTTGTCGCGGTGTTTCTGCCAGCGAGAACTCGCGCGGGTGTAGCCCCGCCACCAGATAGATGAGCACGTGGAAGGCAGGCGTCGAGAGGATCTCGTTGAGGCCGGCCGAGATGAGCTTACCCAGGGAGTCCCAGTCGAAGTCCTCGGACAGCGGAGTGTTGTAGCGCTCGGCGAAGCCGCTCGCCTGCGCGTCGCGGGCTTTCCTTTTGGCCGCGTCGAGCTCCTGTCGCCCGCCCTCCCCCTTTGCATCGCAGCTCCAGGCGACGGGGGGCGGTGCCCAGGTGGCGAGGTCGGGCAGTGGGTCAAAGCTCTCGTCTATGACCAGGGATCTCCTGTGGCCGGCAGGCGCGCCGCCCCCGAATCGGACCCAGGGGCGGGTCAAGCGCCCGTACTCAGAGAGCACACGCAGCTGGGACCAGGTGGCATTGGCGAACATGCGCCCGTCTCCCAACATCAGGATATTCCGCTTGGCCCTAGTGATTGCCACGTTCAGGCGTTTGGCGTCGTCGACAAAGCCCCAATTGTGCTTCCCGTTGCTCCTGCTGGTCAGTACGATTACGATGTCTGCCTCACCACCCTGGCAGGAGTTGATGGTGGTGAGCTTGAGGGCCCCACTCTTCATGCGCTTTCCCGCAACCTGCCTGAGTCCAGGGAAGGCAGCGCCGATGGCTGTGTGGGCGTTGTGGTCCTCCCGAAAGACGGTTTCCCATCGGTGATCGTCCACCACGTGCCCTTGGGGGTCAGCTCCAGGGCCAGGGATGTCTTGTCCGTCGCGAACAACACTGCCTTTTCCCTTGCCTGATTTCCCCTTCTTGCCACCCTTTGAATTCCGCAGGACGCCGCAGAGGTGGCGGGGGCCTTGAGGCCAGCCGTCCGTGAGGATGGCCGTCTGGTGCTGGTAGCCAACGACGATTCTGACGGTGGTGCCTTTTTCGAGCTCGGGCAGGAGTGCCCGCACGATGTCCACGGCCTGCGCTGCCTCGGGGGGATTGGCGTAGCCTGGCTGGAGGCTAGACGTTACTTCCCAGGAGGGTGTGTCGACCAGCAGGAAATGGTGCTTGTCTCCGTCTTGCGGAGGATCCAACTGCTTGAGGGTCGCGCGAAGGTCGGCCTCGTTGGAACCGGTGAGGTTGGCCAGTTCAGTCAGTCGCCCGGGTTCCCAGGGTGGGATGTCTCTCCATGGGATGCCTTCAACGATGGGCCTGTCCCTGAGCGGGTCCATGATGCCAGTCGTCATACCCTTGCCGTAGTAGGCTGCGTTCGGGAAGGCGAGTAGCTGCAGATGCATGCGGTAGCAGATCGACAGGTGGACCACAGCCGTATCTTGGCCGCGGAGTGCGTGAAACATCCTGTCAAATATGCTGACACAGAGTCCCAGGTCGTTGGCAAGCTTGGAGAGAACCGTAGGGGGTAACTGATTCGGGTCGCCCACCAGTACCAGGGCTCCGCCGCTGTTGATCAAGTTCACCATAGACATGAGCGCATGAAGCTCCGTGGCCAGCCCAGCTTAATCGATTACCAGGAGGACAATGTGAGGACTGTCTTTCTGTCCGAGGGCTTCGGCCGCCTCGTGCGTGGACATGATCACCCTGGCATCTCGAAGCAGGCTGGCCTTGTAGGGCTTGAAGTCCGGGCTCTTGTCCCCGTCCTGGAACGGGAACTCTCCGTGGCTTTCTTGTTCTTGTTTTTCCCCCTACCTAGGCTCTGCCTAGAAGGGTTCTTACTCTCTTTGCTTAAAGGGCCGGGCAGTGCTAACCGCCCCGGGCGGCCCCCCCAGCCCCCGCCCCGCGGTTCCCCCAGTCCCCTGGGAGCTTTAGCCTTAGCTTTAGCTTGAGCTTAGCTTTAGCTTTAGCTTTAGTTTAGCTTTAGCTTAGCTTTAGCTTAGTGTTAGCTTAGCTGTAGCTTAGCTTTAGCTTAGCTATAGCTTAGCTTCAGCTTAGCTTTAGCTTAGCTTCAGCTTAGCTTCAGCTTAGCTGCAGCTTAGCTTTAGCTTAGTGTTAGCTTAGCCTTCTATTTAGCTTAGCTTTAGCTTAGCTTCAGCTTAGCTTTAGCTTTAGCTTAGCTTCAGCTTAGTGTTAGCTTAGCTTTAGCTTAGCTTTTGCCTAGCTTTAGCTTAGCTTCAGCTTAGCTTCAGCTTAGCTTTAGCTTAGTGTTAGCTTAGCTTCAGCTTAGCTGTAGCATATCTTTAGCTTAGCTTCAGCTTAGCTTTAGCTTAGCTTTAGCTTAGCTTTAGCTTAGCTTTAGCTTAGCTTTAGCTTAGCTTTAGCTTAGCTTTAGTTTAGCTTTAGCTTAGCTTTAGCTTAGCTTCAGCGTAGCTTTAGCTTAGCTTTAGCTTAGCTTTCGCTTAGCCTTAGCTTAGCGTTAGCTTAGCTTTCGCTTTAGCTTAGCTTTAGCTTAGCTCTAGCTTAGCTTAAGCTTAGCTTAAGCTTAGCTTTAGCTTAGCTTTATCTTATATTTAGCTTTAGCTTTAGCTTAGCTTTAGCTTTAGCTTAGCTTCAGCTTAGTTTTAGCTTAGCTTTAGCTTAGTGTTAGCTTAGCCTTAGCTTAGATTTAGCTTAGCTTTAGCATAGCTTTAGGCTTAGCTTTAGCTTAGCTTTAGCTTAGCTTTACTGTTACTACTAATGCTGCTTTCCTAGGGGCTCCAACTCCTAGGTAGGGTCGCACTGGGATAATTTTCCCCCTGCATCCCCCGTGCGCTGCGCGACCTTCGGCAGCCGAGCGCCGGAGGTGAGGCGCCCCTCCCTTCGTCGAAGGGCCGGCACCTCGGCTGGACACTCTGCGGGGACCAGCGGCGACTGGACGCCCTTCGCACAACAGCCTGCCAGGAAGCCGCAAGCACGCGTGGCTGAACCCACCTCCACCCCCCGCCAGCCACACACCATCGCACTCCTCCTCCTGCCCTCGGGCACCTACGGCGCCTCGGCGTCGGGCTCCGGATCCAGCCGACCGATCGCCTGCGTGCGACAGCGGCACAAAGGGCAGATGAGATCGCTCGACGGGTAGGGCACGGCAGGAGCGCCACCAGGGCCTCGCCAGACCGGTCGCAGGCCCCCAGGCAGATGCAGCAGGGCCCGCCGCGGCTGAAGGCCTCGCCGCCCCATGAGGCCGGGCGCTTCCCCAGCGCCCAGAGCCAGCACAGGCGGCGCCAGCGCCGGGTGCAGTAGTAGCAGCGCCTGTGCAGGTACGAACAGAGCACCATGAAGACGAAGGAGAAACACATGACGGTGGCGAACAACAAGCACCAGCCCGCCAGGAGCGCCAGCCCCTCGGCGGCCACGTCCACCAGGACGTGGGCAATCTTGCAGTCTGTGGGCGCCGTGACCGCGGGCGGGATCTCCACTGCCGTGGTGAAGCCCGACGCCTGCACGCCGTCCACTGCCAGCGGCCGCCCCTCCGCGCGGACGAGCACGCGCAGCAGGCTCGGGTTGCCTTCCGGAGAGCGCCCTATCCAGTAGGCGTACTTCACGCCCTGGGCCCAAGGGACACCGGCCCACCACCTAGCAACTTCCGCCGCGGCAGGCACGAAGATCTTCACAACCCTCTGCGGCATGTCGACGTAGGTGTACTCCTGGAAGGTGACGTCGACGAACGGCCTCGCGGTCGGCTCCGCCGCCGCGACGGAGGGGCCCCCGTCGCCCTCCCCGCGCCTGCCGTGGCCGGCGAGGCTGCAGGCCGGGGAGAACGCGACCAGGAGGGCCGCCGCAAGGGCTGCGCCTGCGGCAGCAGCCCAAGACCGCGGCGGGCGGGCACCGCGCCATCTGCGATCGCCCGGCACGGCGGCGGGGCCGGGGGAAGGGGGGGGGGAAGGGAGGGGGGGAAGGGGGGGGGGGTGGGAGGGGGGGGGGCTCGCGCGGCCGGGCCGGAGCCCTTGAGCCAAAAGGTTACGGAACCACTACTCTTGACTTACTTTTTAAAATTAATTTTTTACAGCCGCGGGCGAAAGCGCCAGCGGCGGGAGGTCGCGGGCGGGCTACGGCCGCGACTAAATTGCCTAGCGCGCGCGGGGGCCGCGGATCAGGCGGCGGGGGAGGCAGCGCTCAGGGCGGCAGCCGACGTGCAATCCAGGGAGACTGAGACAGCCCCAGGACGGGCATGCAACGGTGCATCCAACGAGCCTGAGGTCAGGCACCGAGGAGACCAAAGGCAGCCAAAATGGCGCGTGAGGCGTTCCCAGAAGTCCAGATGCGAACAGAAAGGAACGTTCCCGAGGACACCGATCCAGGGAGCCTGACGGGTAACACAGACTGACTGGGGACATAAGTCCAGCGGAATCCTGGCGGCGACACGAAGTCGCGACGCCAGAACGCGCATCCAAGGTGCGGAGCGTGCTGACAGGAGAACCTTCCACAACTGAGATGCGTCAGCCCTGATCCAACGAAGGAAGGGCGCCGTAGTGTACGATGAACGGTCGACAACGTGGCGCGCGCACATCCAAAGTGTCTCAGCGCTACCCAAAACGAGTCGGATAGCACAAGAGGGTCGAGACCTTTGTATACCCAAGACGCATCCCTCAGAGCCACTTCGATCCAGGGCCACGGCGGAAGGCCGTTCAGCACAAGAGTTCCCGAGGACATCGATCCAGGGAGTCTGACGTGTAACACAGACTGACTGGGGATATAAGTCCAGCGGAAAAACCCGACGGCGAATCCAAGGCGCGACGCAAGAACGCGCATCCAGGGCGTGGAGCATGATGACAAGAGAACCTTCCACAACTGAGATGCGTCAGACCAGATCCATCGAGTGGAAGGGCGTCGTAGTGCACGATACACGGTCGACCACGTGGCGCGTGCACATCCAAAGTGTCTCAGCGCTACCCAAAACGAGTCGGATAGCACCCGAGGGACGGGACCTTCGCATACCCAAGACGCATCCCTCAGAGCCACTGATCCAGGGTCACGGCGGAAGGCCGTTCAGTATTTGAGGGTTCCCGAGGACATCGATCCAGGGAGTCTGACGGGTAACGCAGACTGACTGGGGACATAAGTCCAGCGGAAAAACCTGACGGCGAATCCAAGTCGCGACGCGAGAACGCGCATCCAGGGCGTGGAGCATGATGACAGGAGAACCTTCCACAACTGAGATGCGTCAGCCCAGATCCATCGAGTGGAAGGGCGTCGTAGTGCACGATACACGGTCGACCACGTGGCGCGCGCACATCCAAAGTGTCTCAGCGCTACCCAAACCGAGGCGGATAGCACCCGAGGGGCGAGACCGCCACATACCCAAGACGCATCCCTCAGAGCCACTTCGACCAAGGGAGAGAGAGAGAGAGAGAGAGAGAGAGAGAGAGAGAGAGAGAGAGAGAGAGAGAGAGAGGCGAGCCGCGGCCCACGGACGGCCGAAAGGAACTCCTGGCGGTGAGACATCTACAGTAAGGCCAGAGGCCACGAGTCCCCAGCGGGGGGGCTGTGGACGGCATTGCCAAAGCGCGCACCTGAATCCAAAGGCAGGAGGCGCGAGCCTCGGGCGGAGGGCGGCAGAGCGCCGCGATTGAGAGGCCCACGGCGCGGCCTCGCGCAGCGCCTGCTGGAAATTAGGAAGTGAAACCGACGGCGAGGAGCGGGAGAGCCTTGCGGCGAGAGGGCCGCGGCCACCGAAGGAGAAAGGCAGCGATGCCAGCGGCACGTTGGTCTGCAGGATGCGCGGTGCCACGTAGAGAGCAGATGGTATTACTGCACGGCACCCCAAGGCCCAAGGGTGAGTGAGAGTGCCGCCCAGGGGAGGGGCGGTGGCGCTGCCCCAGGTTGAAGGAGAGAGCGGCGGAGGGCCGCGGTAGCGCGTCGTAAGGCGTCGGCGGCGGCGCGGGCAATGGGGGCGGGGGGGGGGGCGGAGAGGGGGCTCAGTCTCCCCAACGGAGTCTCTTTTCATCTCGATCGTCCCGATCACCAGGGCGACCTCCGCCGCGTTTGCCACCCGTCTGCCAGTGATCTTCACGCCATCCATCGCGCCACTCGCCCTGCCAACTGCCCCAGGTGCCCCGGGAACTTGTCGCGCGATCGCGCCAGCCCGCGTGGTGATAGCCGCCTTTGCCCCTGTCGTCTGTCCGGGAGTGACGCAGGTAGTTGGCTCTTATCCTGTCCCAGTCGATATCATAGCCCAACCTCGTGTTCATCTCGTAGGCGTCGTACCCGCAGTCCTTCCAGGCCCCCAGGAAATTGTCGATGTCCGAGGGCGCGTGTAGTTTCGGGTGGGATTTGGGCGCCCTCCATCCAGGGAGCAGGGCACGCTGCACGTTCGCTGTCCACAGCGCGCGAAAGACCGCCCCCAGCTCCGACTGAAGCCTGGATATGCGTCTGGCTGGTGTCTCGTCGGGACGTTCGAGTTCGACAGTGCCCAGCCTGACTTCGTACATTGGGCCGCCTCCGTCAGGGCAGGACAACAGGTTGAGTGCGTCCTGCTCCGTTGGACCAGCATGGCGAGGGTGATGGGGCCTCTGTCCGGGGGGCATCGGGGCGGGCGCAGGAGAGCGCTCGCACCGCGAGCCACCACCGTCGCTGGCCCTCTCGCTGGCCCTCTCGTGCCCCGCGGGGTCTCGGGCTGGACCCCTTCTGCGGTCGGCGTAGGGCGTTTCCTCTGCAGCTGAGGTCGCGGCATCCTCGCGGCCGGTGTCAGAGCTGTCCGCCGACGGGCTTCGCTGCGGCGCATCGCCGCCTGAGCGATTGTCATCATCTTCCTGGGCCGACTCTGAGCACGTGGGAGGACGAGCGGGTTCATCTTCTCCGTAATCGGGCTCCATCTTGTTAAAAGGGATCCCGTCTTCCGCGCCTTCGCCGCTGTCGTAGTCGGGCGGGTCGTAGTGGCCCATACGCGAGTCGTTGTCCACTGTGCCCTGGGACCTGTTTGCGTCGGCAGCCATGGGAGTGTCTGGCATGTCGTCGCTCACGCCAGTTGGTGGGGACTCCGCCAACGAGGTGATGGGCGTTGGCTCTGCCGCCGCACCGGAGCTGCCTGCGTCGCTGGGCCCAGGGGGATTGCATGCTCCGACTTTGGTGAACTGGTCCTGGGCCTTGGCGCCCACGCCAAGCCAAAGGAGAGAATCCCCGATGTCCACAGGCGCCTCGAGCCCAATCTGGCTGCTGAGCGGGGGAAGGGCAGGAGGCTCTTCTGGATATAGCGATCGGAAGTCGCGATCCAGGATGCGAACCAGGGTGGCCGGGCCTATGTTCCGGATCGGGACCAGGCAGCGTCGGCAGCACCATGTAGCGTTCCATTGGCGCCCCCACCAGGCCAGGGCACGCTTGTCGATGGGGGGCAGCCCGTCTTGCTCGGGAACGCCTATACCTTCCGCCGGCTTCCAAATGAAGCAACCCAGAGGCGGGGAGCCGGGGTTCCAGACAAGGAGCGGGGCCCCTTGGGGGCAGGTGTCGCACCGCGCAGAGTAGGTCTGCGTCTGGGCGGCTTTGATGCCGAGGCGCTCATCCCGGATCCGGAGGATCGGAATGGTGGTATTGGCACACTCAGGAATCTTCGTGCCCGTCGGCTCCATGAAGAGATCAGCTAACCTCCTCGTGTCCGCCAGGGGGTTGCACCCGTAGCCGAGCGGAAGGTGCCCCAGGGAAGGGAGGGCGCTCGCCCTGTCGTTGCTGGTTCCCGACATCTGCTGCTCATGTTCCCTGACTCTGTCGGCGAGCTTCGTTCCGGCAGGCGCAGGAGGCCATTGTCCTCGAGGTGGCGTATCCAGCAGACAGCGCAATGCCACCCCATGTTGGCACCGCTGATGTATGCCCGAGGTCTATTCTGAGCGACCATCTGGCGCGTGCTGTCGGAGATCCAGGTACCCTCGGCGGCAGTCAGATGGTCCTTTCCGCACCTGTCGCACGTGTATCTGTTATTCTTTTTCTCGAGCACGAGCCTCTTATCGGGGATGAAAGGAGGGTCCAGTCTGGTGCCTGGGGCCGGAGCCGGCGGTGGAGGGGCATTGAGGTCGGTCTGGGACAGGGCAAGTCCGCCGCCGATGTAGGAAAGACCCGCGACCCTGTCGTTGGGACCGAGGGAGGCGTCGGACCCCGCCAGCGCGACGTGCAGCGCACACACTGAGCAGCCGTGCGTATCCAGGCAGGTCAGAGTTGCTGCCGGGACGATCCGTTCGAGGACGAGCATCGGTGCTTCTAGCTGGAAGTCTTGCCTGTCCATCTCGCTCCAGGTCTGCGGGCAGCCGGCTTTCTGCGCAGCCGGGTGGTGATGCGCCAATGCCACGAGCTTGGAGATGTGAGGTAGCACCGCCTCGATGCGACCGTGCAGGTCAGCCAGGTCTTCCAGGGCGAGGCTCCACGCACGGGCGAACTGGCTTCGGAAATCCTGGTGGACCTCTTGCCAGGGGACGCAAAACCCCAGAATGGCCTCGACGACGTCCCCGGCCTGCTCTGCATGAGAGAAAGGCCACAGAAACACTCGCGGTTCACGGAGCATGAGCATCATGACAACCAGAAGCGAACGTGCCTTGCAGGAATCCATGGGCTGACCGTCGGCGTCTATGATTCCGTGACGGAACTCTTCCATCGAGGAACCGCATCCTCGGAGGATGTCTCCCAACCCGGCCATTCCAGGGTGCCTCCTGTGTCTGCAGAAGTCCTTGGTAGCGGAGCTCCAAGCCTTGGGGACCTGACGGAAGAGCCCTTTGGGGGTGCACTGGCGGCGCTTCCAGAGTGTCACACGCCTACCGTTGGCGCGGGGCAACGGAGGAAGGGAGTCATCGGGCACGGCGTGGCTCGCGTCCCCCCTGGGGGTGCCTAGGCCGAGCGACCAGACCATTGCTGCCCACAGCGTGT